TTCGGATTTATATGTCACTTAGTATATTTTAGCGGATTTGTGTCCACGCTTTGAGTATGTCGTAAATACTTATTATTCGTTGGTGCTATTTAAGTGTCCGGAAGCAAATGAAAAGATAAGTATTTGTAGCTAGCCAAGCGATTTCTGATGTATTTTGATTCATGATGGGAATTAGGAGCAAATCTTTCACAATTTTTCTCTAGTTTGGGAGACATTTTAGAAGAAATCGACCATATTCATTAGATCCGGAACTTCGAAGATGCCTTCTCGTTGGTTGAATTTTGACCCACTAGCTTTTTGCTTAGTAAATTCACCTTAGTAATGTTACGATAAATCAAACGTCTCCTAAAGCAGCCTCCTGGTTTCAATAGCCCTGCATTATCTTAAGCCTCATTGTTCAAGTGTAAATAGCAACTTAGGTACATGTTACTTGCCCATGGTAACGCGTTTTGATAGAAGAAAAAGTTTTGCGTAGCGCTGCAAATTTCATTATCTATCCCAGATATCTGCAAGTCTTCATACCCATATATTTTCTCAAATGGCAATACCCAGGGATCGTTTGCAATTTTGAGTTTTCGAAATTTTGTAGGGTAAACGAGTTTTAAGTTTTAGTAAGACAAGTTGGAATGCTCTCAGTCGCCCAATCACTATTCTTTTCTATTCTTCAGAACGTTTTGTCATTTCAGCACGGTTTATGTCGTTGATAGCGATTTGAAAACTGTGTCTTAGTGACAAAATGGAACTGACTCGTGAAAATTTTCGTGCGATGATTACGACTTTCGGCGTGGACTATGAAAGCAGGAATGCATCGATCAACTTACTTTGACTTTTGGTGATGAAGCCCCATCCTTTGCTACTGTGAAGCAATGGTATAATGAATTTAATCATAGTTGCCGTTCTCTTTGTGACGAAAGTCGTGAAGGAGGTCCAAAATTAATTGTTGTGCCAGAAAACATTGATTCTGTGCAAAAACTAATAATGCAAAATCGTCATGTGACGAATTGTGAGATTGAGGCAGCCTCAGGCATTAATTCCACTAGCAACTAAAATATTACATGATCATTTAGCGGTGGAAAAGGTTGTTCTCGTTGGATTCCACATAATTTGACAAAAGCTCTAAACCAGGCTCGTTTCGATTGGTGCAAACAGATGCTCGAAAAATACAATGGCGGTGCTTCAAAAGTCGTGTGTAAGATTGCAACAGGTGATGAATCAAGAATCTATGCTTATGAGCCAAAAAGGAAACAGCAGTCAGCTGTACGGGTGTTTCAAACGAGCTAAATCCGATAAACGTCACCTATCTTTTTTTTCGAAAAAACTGGTCGTGTTGCAACAGAGGAACGTAAAACAGTTAATTCTGAATGGTGCACAACTGTTTGTTTGCCGAAAGTCTTCGGTTAAATAAGGAAAGCCAACAAGCGTCGTCGGCTCATTCCTCATCAAGACAATGCGAGCTTTCACGTCTCTCGTGAAACAATGGACTATTTGAGCACTCAGAATACTGATTTAATGGGTCATCCTCCATACAGTACCGACTTGACACCCAATGACGTCTTTTTGTCCCCCAACGTTAAGAATAAAATGGGTAGACGGCGATTTTCGTCGGCAAAAGAAGCTGTTGATGAGTTCATAAAGCATGTTTTGGAGTTATTTCAAGCGGAGTGGAAAATTTGTTATGAAAAATGCTTCCGACGCATCAAAAAGTGTATATATAGATCATAATGGAGAATATTTTGAAAAACAGTAAAGTGATCCTCAATGACAAATTAGGTTTTTTTTTCATAATTAGGCTCAAAATATAAATAGTCACCTTCGTAATAGAAAAACTAATAGTATTTTTAGAAGCTATTAAAAGTGTACGTCTACTTACTATCGTTAAGGAATTCAAAACTATGTACCACTTTGGATACCTTGCTCAAGAATAAAATCTGAATCACTTTTACTAGCGGATTTATTTTGTCACCTAATTTTCAGTCTTTGGGAATTATTTTTAAATAAATACCTTCAAATATAATTTATAAGGGTGTAAAGTACACGATACTTAACATCACAGAGCAAATATACACGTTCTTTTAATATACCTTCAGCTAGTCAAATCCATTACAAACTGAGAGTCCGATTTTGGCACTTTGCTGTATCTGTAGTAGGCATATATCTCACTTTTGTTTGGTTGAGCTTTTTTTCACCTTCAAAGAAAATGACTCGTACGTAAGCTGTAAATCTTAGAAACTGCATTTAATTTCATATTAACTGAGTTTCAGCAATTCTTGTAATCACTAACTTCTTTTTTCCAGGAAATTCACGTGCGATTGTTTCGAAGGCTTCTCTGGACCGCACTGTTCTGAGGGACCTAAATCAGTCTGCTACAATGCCGGAGTACCCGTCTGCAAGAACGGAGGAACTTGCATGTGAGCATGTTATATTTCTATAAAGTTTGTGATAATGCCAAGTGTAACTACCGCTAGGCAACGCTAGTGAATTTGCAGGCTAAACTGTCAAAATTAGATGGTAAAAAGACAGAAATGTTAGATCAAGGCGAGGTTCGCAAGATGTTTGAGGTTAAGTAGAATTTTAATTTCAAATTATTTTAAAATACCCTGCAAGCAGTATCTTAAGCGGTTTATAATCTTAGGCATCACCGCCAATCTTAATAGCGCCATCTAGTTCTTCCCAAATTACTCTTCATTTAAACTATAAGATCTTAGGTAAAAAGATTAAAATAAATCTGCTATAGGAATATTACAGATATCTAACAGAATGGTTTTATGAATTTTATTTTTTTTACGGTTTTTGGCAGGTCACACTAAAACATATACATACATAAATGCCATCGGCCTCTATTCGTAAACGTCTGTTTGTGTAAGCTTTCAGACGTACGTTTTCTAGTTTTGTCTCACCTCTTGAAAATTTGTCCATTAACGTACGAGTCTTGAACGTTTGTTATTGTCACTGCCACTGTGACAACTTGCGTATCATGACCGTCCAACTTTAGTTTATCTTTGTTAATCTTCGAAATAAAAGATTTAGCAATCCTCAAGATACAAGCACAACGTCAACTGTGTTAGATTTATAGTATTTTGAGAAAGTGAATGTTTGTGTACAAGAGCAAGTAGCAGCTGCGTTTATTATCGTATGGCGCATTGTGAAATTTTGAGCAGTGAGGTTAAGCTACGCACATGGTAGTTAGTGGGTCTGTCCATTTTTTTTGTTTGATGCAACCGCCAAAAACCATAAGAGGAATTATGTAATAATCCAACTACTTCAAATCTGCAATAATCAAAGGGAGAAACAGATATTTGATTGATAGCTACAATTAAATTAGTTATTAAAAACTTATTTTAACCACATACGCAGTTACGAAAGAAGTTGATTTCTCAAAAAAAAAATTAATGGAAGTCCTACAGAAATCGAGATAATAAAATAATACAGTTTAACAGTTTACTTACTTATAAAAGCTGTTCACAATTGTTTCGGTGCACTAATACAAATACACCTCCTTCCTGCTGTGTCTGAAGGCTCAAATTATCGGCAGCTACTGTGAGTCGGTCACGCAATCCTTCAATATTCTGAACTGGAGTACGGTATATATCGGTTTTCAAGTATCCTCATCAAGAGAAGTCCAGGCGATTTAGATCGGGAGACCGTGGAGGCCATGCAATTGGTCCACCCCTTCCGATTCAGCGTATCTGGTATACCTGATTCAAAAAATCACGATCTTCTAAACGAAAATGCAGCAACCACATCTGTGCTCGGACCTAATGGCACATCTCCAAGAAGCACCGGCATATCATTCCGAAGAAATTCTAAATACTGACAACCATCCATCCGATCTGGCAATATGAACGTTTGAATTAGATGTTCATCGACAATACCTGCCCACCCGTTTAAAGAAAAACGATGTTGGAAGTGTGACTGGACAACTGCGTGAGGATTCTCAAAGGACCAAACGTGTGTATTATGAAGATTGGTTATCCCATCACGAGAAAAATAGCTTCATCATTCGTGATGTGGTATATGCCTATTCGGAAATCGGTGCCCATACAAACGAGAGGCTGCTCGCGAATGTTGCCCTGCTTCTCGGTACGCTAAAACAATGTCCACTAACTCTTCATTAATGTACGCAGGTGCCATTTTTATTAATAAATAACGAAAAACCTAAACTCGAAAAATATTTTCTTATTTACCTTCACAAAAATTGACCGTTCTTCATTCAGGTCGCCCACGATACAGATTAAACCTTATTTACACGTTTTTATCATTATAAAAAAACAAAAAAGTCCTGGTATTTTGTTTCTGTCAGTTGTTTGGTACAATAATGGCTACAATTAGTGCGTGTTCTAATATTAGGACGATGAACGCAAAATACAGATATTTATTTTTCAATTTATTTGTGAAACTCAGGTTTATGACTTAATTTCTGTAGGACTTTTACTACATTTTTTTTGAGAAATCAACTTTTTGCGGAACAGTCCATATGTGGTTAAAATTTGTCGGATAAGTTGTGAAGCACCCTGTATGTATATGCATACATGCATAGAAAAGCCACTGGTGATTTGCTCTGTGAATATCTAATATTCCGACCACACGTTGATTCTGATGTTGCGGTGTGACATCTCTGCGCTTAGCGCAAAATGCAGGGCGGTGAGGTACAGCATTTACGGATCTCTCTATCGTCTTCGTCGTACGGAATGATGTAAATCAGCTTCGCAAAACCATTGGTACGTGGCGATCCTCCTTACGTACAATGACTTGATTTTTTTAAAAGACCATATCCACTTGCTTGCTTCCCGTTTCAACTGCCTCCACACTGATGAATTTCTAATGAGCACGAAACAGCACTGACTGCGGTTGATCGTGGTTACACGAGACGGAAGGCAGACGTGTCCTTTTCAAACACGTTTAGTCTTGGAAAAGAATCTATCTAGATTAATCTTACTCCAATTAACGTTGTTATTGATTTTAAGTCGCCCGTTGATTGCTAAACATTATCTTCGTTGCAGACATGTCGGAGTATCTGCTGTGAGATGCCATTGTCCTAAGAACTTCACCGGGAATACCTGCGAGACTCCCATATCATCTATCAAAGGTAAGGACGGTTTTATCTCGGGGTTTCAAGTGACGATCTCGTTAAACCACTTTAGAACTTTGACTGCTCCAGATTTCCACCCAATGAAATTATTTCTATGGCCCAACCGAAGGTCGATTTATTGATCGAAATAATGAAGCGTTAGAATAACGAACGTTTGTGCTCTTGGTTTTGCTTCATATAAGTTGTAACTCCGGTTGTAATGGACTACTAAATCGATACATGTCAAAATTATACAGGGTGACGGGAAAATAGATGCGGAGCCGGTGGGGGGAGATAGTACAAGCCAATCTGAGTCGATTTTACTATAGGAACAACTGTCCGAAAATTAGCCGTTTTCAAACAAATTATCCTGTATTAAGGTATGCTTTTGTAAGTTTTATTGCTTTTTCCTTCCGCCTCTTATAATAGTCATATTTTTGACAATTCTTAATCGATTTGTGATTTTTATACCTCATTTGAAAGGTAATGAAACATAGATGTCTTCTAATTATTTTTTACGAAAAATTTGTATGCGACTTTTTCTAGTAAACTGAACCCTTTGAGATGAACAAAGATTTTTTTCAACAAAAATTGAACTATTTTGAAGCTTACTGCATGAGATAACGTCAATAATGTACATTTGAGTATCAATTTTCGTATTTTAGAATAGTCTTATTGAAAAACCAAAAAAAATCAAATGAAACACCCAATTTTCAAGTTTTATGACTTGGTCAACCTATAAAGGACGTTAATTTTATAAAATCTTTAAGATTAGTATAATTCGAAAACGGCTAATTTTCGGACAGTAGTTCCTAGAGTAAAATCAACTCTGCTTGGCTTGTACTATCTCCCCCCACCGGCTCCGCATCCCGTCACCCTGTATAAATCAAAGATGATAATTTGGCGGTTATGAATACCCATCTCCATTATCGGTTGCATCTAGATTAAAAATCCTATAAGAGTATATTAAATAGCAGCACCCGGAATATGTTCGAATTATAAGCGTTTTTGGAAATAAGAAGAAAATTCCTGATGTCATTTGCGTTCGATTCTGGGGCCTGATCTCAACTGAAATTTCGACCTTCAAATTAAGAATTTCGATGTCGCCTTGTCCTCATACTCTCGATATCTATATCGAAATTATGACAGCGGTTTAGATATACAGGGTGTCGCAGAAATAACTGGCTAGATTGACACGCTAGGTAGATTAGCTTCAAATCAATCAGATAAAATCAATATGACCTTAGCAAAAGTTTTCAAGACATTGCCACTTTTAAGTTTTTTCAAAAAATCACTACTTTTTGATCCTTTTTTGCCTGCCGTGCCTATAAAGGATTTTTTTCCCTGGGCTACCATTAATAGTTGGTTGAGACAACCTAGTATTTATTTCATTGAAAACTAGGACGGTATGTTGAATTATTACATTGGGTTTCAATGCGAAAACCTTAACTAAAGTTTAACTAATTACCGTGAAAGAAATGTAACAGACTGAATCAGCAAATGACCTCAAAAATTAGATATTTGATGCTCTTTCAAAAATAGTACAACATTTGTAGGTTCTTTTTACTAAAAACCGAATCATTCCAAGTAGTGTCATTGTAATCGTAATACTTTCGAAATAAAAAATAATAAATGCAGCTGTCCCTTGTGTCCAAATTACAAGATTGTTGCTGCTGTGATCGATTTCTATTTTTTTAACAAATGTCTATAACAGCTATCCATTATCCTTTTTTATTCATGGCTGTATGCAGGCATCAAAATAATGAACAGAATATTAAGTCGCTTTTTTTATTTCCATTGATTTTTACTACATTCAGGTGGTACCCGCCTACCGCGATTACAGCAACTACAAAGTTGTAATTTTTACACAAAAGACGCCAACCTACCCCAAAGGTTTTTACGCGTTAATTTCTAAGACTTCGGCAATATGGAATTGCCAAACTTCCCGGAGTTAGAGGCCATGGTGTCAGGCTGTATTGGTGTACATACTGTAGTAAAATGGCACATGTTTATGCGGATCGGTTTCCCAATCGAGTGCAACCAACCCCTCGTGCCTTTGTTAATGGGCTCGTGAATCAGGTTAAGTCACCTCACATGCCGGTGCTCCAAGACCTCACGATCAAATACAGGTCCGCACTGAAATACTTGTCGGGAGGATACTTTATAAAACAAGGTAAATTTTTTTTTTTATTTTTTTTTTATTTTTTACACACATATTTTGGTTTATCTTCCTTCTACAATCATTATCTGAAAATTAATGACTCAACTTCAAAGTGTATAAGAAGGTATAGTGAAATAATGAAAATAATTTGAAAAACAATAACAGATACAGCACTATGTGATGTAGAGTCAAATCACAGAATATGGTCTGCAAGAATTCTTTTTCTTCAAAAGCGTCAACTATATCATCGACCAACTGCAAAACTGCGAAGGTCGTGTTTTTTAACATCGAAATCCAAACTGGTTCAAATAGAACATGTTATCAGTTTCAAAATGTAAAACTATTTGTCTCACCAAGCACTTTTCGTAAATTTTGTTGAATAGGAAGTAATGATATCGGGCGATAGCTTGCGATATCGTCAGTATCGCCATTTTTGGAAACCGGTATCACAACTGCACGTTTTAAGCAGTCCGGAAATATGCTACACTCTATGCAGATATTTATTAATTTGGTTAGAGGCATTATGATTTGATTTTTAATCATTTTTATTAAAAGATTGCTCATATCATAAATATCTTTAGAGTTCTTCCTTCTAAGAGAATTGATAGCATCTTTGACGTCATTAAATGATACATTTTTAAAGGTGGCGCATTGGTGGAAGTATATTACTTTCTGGATGTAGCTCACCTAACAGTTTATTCGCAATGGTACAGACAAAGTCGTTGAATTCATTTGGTTCTTTGATGTATTCATACCAGTGCTTGTATTTTTGTTTTTCCTAACAATTTCTTACATAGCCTTCACTGGGTTGTTAGACTTTTTAATGATTTGTTCATTATATTTTTTTTTCGTTGCATTTATTTTTTGGTTATATTTTTTCTTAAAGCTGTTTAGTCTTTTTTTCATGTAAACAGATTTGTCTTTGTTATACAAGGAATTTAAGTAAAATAAATAGATCTCTCATATTTCTGAGGTCGCTACTAAACCAGTTTGCAGTGTATGTCAAATCACAGTTCTTTTTCTGGGAATATTTCAATTTTTTTTTGTACAGTCCAAGGAACAGTCCTGAATGAAATCCCACGTCAAATTGTCTACAAGGTTAAATAAAACTAACTTACCATACTCTGCGGTAGGCGGATTGCAGCCCAGTTACCATGTTCTCAAGGTCTTGCGTGGATAATTTTAAGTCTGGAAGTTTTACATCCTTACATCGGCGAAATGTGCGAAATTTATTGAGTGGATACTGCAAATGCATTTCATTGATTTGGTTTTGTGGTCAGATACTTAGCTTTTCTAGAGAATTACATAGAAAATGTGTTACATGATGTAAGCAACGATAGTACGAATGTGCTATCAGAACGACGTTACCCCACCGCATGTTCGTCGTGACATAACCGCCTGGTTAAATAATCATGACAGACAACGATGGATTGGCAGAAAGGGTACCGTACATTGGATGGATTTCTTTTTGTGAGGCGATTTTAAACAACTAGGTGGAATAGATAATGCGTTTTCATAAAATTCCAGACACAACAAATTTTGGGAAAATACGTTTTTCTTTATTAAAAGCATTCCGCAGTTGTATCCCTCAGAATGGTGATCTTTCTGAAGAGTAATTATTTGCAGCAAGTTACTGCCAGTACTATTTTTATTTGGAAAAACAATGCTACTAATCCCCTGTATCTCCGCCACAGGTGCATGTTAGTTTTAAGTAAAGGAATGTGGATAATACTTTGGCAAATCCACATACCAAATTTTAATTGATTCCAGTGTACAGTTTTGAAGATATTAAAAAAATTGCTATTTATTTTTAAACTTTTTAACGAAAAAATGTCACCTAGAAGATCCCCCTTAAAACGCAGTCCGGTGTATGATGTCTCACCTTTGTTCACGACTTGTCAATCACCATGTACAGATATACCCACTACAAGTGCAAGACCCCAAAATAGCAGCAATCAAACACCACATAGTAAATTAAATTTTCGATCTACCAATCTTTGTTCTGAAGAATTGAACATTTGATTAAGTAGCTTCATCGGTACTAATAAGAATCTAAACGATATATGTACCGGATCTGAATCAATTAGTGAATTCAGACTAGGTAGAAAGAGCAAGCCTACGATGTGTTTGTCACCAAAATCTCAGTCGGTAGTTATGGTGAAAGTGCATACTACCAGCGGACTTGACATAAATTAATTTTTGACAGTTCTGTGATTACATTCGTATTTTTAATGATACCTTTTAAAGGTGCAAGTGTTCACAGATAATTGTGGTGTTAGATGATTTAGACATTTAGACATGGTACTTCTTAAATAATTTGCAAAGAGCGGCACAAGTCTGATGAAGGTATATTTTTCCACCCCAAAAATTTTGGTTACTACGTGGATCACCAAGTTGACCTCCAAACGGCGTCTGAGGTCACAATTTAGGTCATATTAGAGACAACAATACATTTCTTTCTCGATCTCTCGGAACTTTTATTGGAACATTTTTTCGAAAGAAATTTCTAGATTTTATAATATCAGTGATTTTAAAGACACACGACCACTGAGATGCTTTGCAACGTGAAGTTAATATATGGATAAAGTTAAAACTGAAAACGAAAGGAATATCCAAATACATTGCATCTCTTCCTCTTCTTTGTCTTTTTAGTCCTCGTGAGGCCTCTGAAACTTTCCACTCCACCAGCGTGAACTTTTTGCCTAATTAAGTAGTTTAGACCGAGAGTTTCTCGCGTTGAGGGACCGGAAACGTAATCATATTTCAAGTTCCCGAGAATACACTTTTCTAATTTTTCCCATTGAAGGCGTAGTCGTCTTCTTGAGGCTTCTCTGTTGTTTTTCTTCAGGTTTTGCCGCCACAGCCGAATCGCTGAGTAGACAATGAGTCTATCCCTTTTGTTTTTCCGTAGTAACTTCTAATTGCGAGCAGTGAGAAAAAGTGAACTATCTGTAAGTGAAATTGTCTAGGTCTTTTGATTCGAGGAATGGTAGTGAAGTGAGAGATTTGATTTGTACAAGAAAAGTGTTAAATGTTTCATGAGCGATCAGAAAATGGCGACAAGGGAAGTGTCTTCGAGCTCCGTATCATCTCTACTTTGTAACCAGTTGAATATCAGCGAGTTTTCGTTCTTCTGGAAAAATGCTGAATTTGTGAAGCACACACACACACTGAATAGTCGCACAGTAGTCTGTGTAATAGCAAACCTGTCAAAAATTGAAAAAACTACCGAAAATTAATAGAAATTATCAACTATTGTAAAGTTAGTACCTTAAACAACAAGTTGGCAATAGTATTAAAACTTTGTTTACACTACCTTTACCAAGACATATACAAAATTTGTAACACATATCGAAGTCTAATGACTCAGCGCTCCTGGTTCCGTAGCTGAAATAAATGTTTGGTCCAACAACCCCACAGCTGGAAATAATACTTTATAATCAACGAAATATTAAAATTAGACTTCAGTTCCAAATCATCCCTATTCACAAACCTGAAACTTGTGTTACAGACATCTTTCAAATTTTGGGATGGACAAATAAGTCGCAGATCAGGCGCTTTCACAACATCTTTAGGCTCTCCCTACGAGGACCTTTTCAGCTCCGTCTGTGACGAAAGAATAGTCCACCTAAAAACTGTCAAATTTTCTCCCTTATCTATGCTGCGGATAAAAGAAATTTGAATTACTATAGAATTAAGAATAACTTAATCTAAACCAATAAATAGACTAATACAAAATAATTATTTATTCATTTATTCAAAAAGTACACAATAATTCTTAGTAAGTCATGGCTACCAACATTTTCGATGCCCGGACCCCCGAAGTAATATAAGCACTTTTCCCAAACTTAATTCATATCAATAAAATAGGTAACAGAATACAAAAACGTACAAATTACTGCTTTGCCCATACCTACCCATTGCTTGTTTTCTAGAAAAAAAAAAGGAATCAGTTTCCTCCATTTCCGTGACTGACACAAACCTTTCTGTATGTAATGAACCCTCATATGTGTGGTCCAAAATTGTATAGTTCAGGAGGTATTTGCAATTTTGTGTAATTTCGAAAAAAACGGGATAATGAACTTTTACTCGTAATTACAAGTAAACCATTAGGCTTAGGGCTGAGATTTTTTGAGATGAACTAAAGTTTTAACAACGGTTATGTCACTTTCTAACAGAGCTCATTAGAAATCAACGCAAAAAATCTTGAATTAACTTTTTTGTGAAAAATCTCTTCCACCCCTCAACTTTGGAGGGCGGTAAAGATTGAGGTTGTATTTCATTGTTCATTTTATTACAAAAACTGTTTTAATCCATGTAGAATAAACCCTGAAAATTTCAGTTTGCTACGATAGATGCCTCACCTTAAAAAATCTGTGTTGGGCGCAGGTGGTTATATCTACACATGTAAACAAGAAATTATATTTTACGAGCTACATACCAAACGACTTGATTGAGTTCGACATATGATGTACTGTTAGATTCGTCCTAGTAATGCGAGTGATACTGTGTGTATTAGTATTTTGTAAAATCAAACTGGCGGGTTTATAAATAAATATTATGAAAAACCAAATTCATTTCAAAGACTAAAGGACAATTTTATTGGAAGCTGTCGCTTGTGTATAGAAAATACAGGAGCCCGTTTCGAACATGTTCATTAAAAGTTACTTAAATTAAATTGTATTCCACATTTGTCGGTAAAGAGCGGCTAAACACAATACGTTCTGTATTTGTAGGTGGTAAGGATTTTATTGCGTTTCTTACGTTTATCGCATCTCAAAAACGAATGTAACATGATACACTCATTGTAGCAAGCTGAAATTTCCATGGTTTATTCTAGATGGATTGAAACAGTTTTCCCAATAAAATGACTAATGAAATAAAACCTCAATTTTTTTTACCGCCCTCCAAAGCTTTGAGATGGAAGAGATTTCTCACAAAAAAATTAATTTAAAATATTTTGCGTTGATTTCTAACTGGCTCTGTCAAAAAGTGAAATAACCGTTGATAAGACTAACCATTAAGCTCATCTCAGAATAAAAATCACAGCCCTAAACCTAATGTTTTAGTTGTAACTGCGATTGAAAGTTCATTATCCCGTTATTTTTTTTTCACAAAATTGCAAATATCTGCTGAATTATAAAATTTCGGACCACACATGTAAGGGTTCACTTGATAGATTTTTAGGCCCTTTTCACCTGACTTTCGTTGGCCCACTACTTACTTTACACTCTGTATACATCAGCCCCTTAAAAAGCCGATCATACAAAGTTGGAATTATCAGCACACCCTATGCTTTACAAAGTCATTATTTCTCCTACATTTAGTTGCTAATTTTTTAAAAAGGTTTGAGAGATATTTATAAGTACCATTTCGCGATGGGCGATTTTCGGTTTCTAAGTAGAAGAATAAATTCGCTTTGCCCGGGGCGTTAGCCTTGGCGGCGTCTCCTCTAGACCTCCTTAAAAGCAGAAACTTGGATACCGCAGTTTGTTTACTGGCAAATATATTACGCAATACCCTATTTCATGTATCCCATCGTATTTTTCAAGGTGGAATATATTCCATATTTTATGGAATATATCAAAACTGAAATAAATTGGTAGCTGTATATAACTCTCGAATAATTGCATTGAAATATACGTGAATATTAAAATGCTTGTTATCGTTGCGATATAATTCGAGAATCATCGTTTAAAAATCCAACACGATCAAACAGAAATAAAAAAAAAGATTCCAGGAAGTGTTGATATAAAATTCAGCCAATTTAATTCCATGGGTACATATCTATGCTAAAACAATTATTATTAGAATCTACGAAGAACGAGATAGATAGTCTCATATTAGTCTAATGGGGGTATTTAAAACATGGAAGCATAAGATGGGTATACTAATTTTTATAGAAATACTTGAGACCTACACAATGAGGCTACAGGTAAAAGGATCCGACTAATAGTAAAAAAGTTATAGCCGAAAACTGAGGCAAAATGCAAGTTATGACTCTGCCACGCTCTGTTTTCTTAATCACTTTTTAATTTTAAGCTAAAGTTATTTCTCTCAATTGAGGCAATGGATGATTAAAAAAAACTACGGGGTTACTGAGGCTAAAGCCGTGGTTTAGCGTTGGCAAATTAGGCCCTATGCTCGTGTACACCGGAGAGTAGGGACGGCATTTTTTTTTTAGGGGCGCCACCAGCTTTTATCCGCCAAAACAGGAAGACGCCTTGGTGTTGAAAGGCACTCTTTAGCCCAAAACCCCAAGAAATAAAAACAAAATACATACAAACAATAGATTTTCTGTGTGGGTAAATAATTGCTAAAATTAACATCAATACATTTTATTACATCTACTAACGGCTAACAACAAAAATTTAAGCCAGCCAAACTAATGCGAAAGCTTATTGACCAACTAATTTAAAATGGGCGAGGAAGGCTTCAAAACCGATGACGTAAGAATCCCTATGGTGGAAAAAAAGTCTCTGTTCGGAAAGAGGTCCCCGGTAGAAAACGTGTCAATGGATCTCCAGTAGCGAAGATTCCCCCAAAATAAAAGCCCTAGATGAAGTCGGGTAGGGTTTTTCACGTGGTTCGGTCTGGCGAAAAGTGCAGCTAAAGACAATAAGATCCTACAAATTGTAGAATTTCTCGGGTCCAAGGGTAGACGAAAAAAAAAGATGCTACGCACTCACAACAGGAATGACCCAGGAAATTATCTATAAAATTTTCTTCCACAATCCAACGAAGATGCCCCAGGCAAAAAAAGAGGAAAATTTCTGGTCTTCTGGCACTAGCGGAACAGAACAAGATGGCCCTCCGATAGTGGAAGGAAGTACCATCCCAAAATTTAATTTTTTCGACTTGACATTTCCAAATATAGTTGCACGCCTGACCATTAAGAGCCAAGCGTTGTCGGCTAATCCCAGAATGAGAAGGTTCCTAATATAAATTCAAGGAAATATCGTGAATAAATGTGTCATATGTGCATATAAATTTGATTGATTAATAAACATAAGGAAATTCTGAAATAAAAATTGGCACCATGCGGAACAAGCGAGGTGTGCAAATAGTTAGGTACGCAGAATAGTACCTCGACATCAGCGACATCAGCCTTTGACATTGGAAGATTTCAGAAAACAATAATAAATTCATCTGACTATCAAAGAAATACATATTCCAATAGGTGAGTAATAATATTTATGCAACACAAATAGTTTTTAATTCAAAAGGTAATATCAATTTATAGATGTACATTTATTTATTTATTTATTTTTAGCTCCGGAGTGACAAACCGGATTGTTGTTGGGATGTTAGCAAATCCCCGAGGCGAAAATTTCGAGATTCAATTGATTTCTTGACGGTGGAAGATCTAGCATGGGATGGAAGCAACCGAGTTATTTATGAAAATAATATGTGGAATTCTAAAATTATTACTCATGGTGAACCAGGGAAATTACTAGGCAACACAAGAAGAAATTGTCCATATCAGGGTGAGTAAATTCTTCAATTAATTACCTGAATGCATGGAAAATTGACTACACATTTATAAACTTAGTGGTAGAAACTGTAAAGATGATCAAAATGGAGTGCGATTGCTGTACGTTAAATTTAATAACTGAAATTTTTGGATTATAAAATAGATCAGGATGGATCATGTTTAATTGATTGAGAAATATTTGGTTTCAGTTCCCAAATTGTTCAGTGACATGGAAGATGCTGACTACCATATACAGGCAGCCAAACGACTACAGAAGAAAAACAACGGATACAAATTAAAAATTATAGTTATTCCGTGGTATTCATTTGTTATGTTTGTTATTTCAAATAAACATGATAATAGGTAAATGTCTGCGTGTTATTTATTTTGGTTATGAATTACGTGAGAAAAA